TATATATATATATATATATATATATATATATTAACTTCATTTTCAAACTTAGAATTTTCTTTTGTTGTATAATGTATAATTCCTTGTAATAGTAATAATATTTACATATGCTAAGACAAAGCAAATTATTATCCACTGGCTTTTCTTCTATCTTCATTGAGACAATTGTAAGCATCCTTTTTGTCACTTGTGAGTTTGGACCATTGATAGAGCAGGACCATAGAGGAGACTAGAAACTTTCTATAGAGCCCACATACCCCACACCCACCCCACATCCTAACATTCAAGGCATAGGGTTAAGAATTGTTTTTTTTTTAATGATCATGGTGTTCGGGCCAATTTTTGTGCCTCTACTAAATCCACGGGATACATGTTACCTCACATTAACAACAGGGTGTCTTTAGGTCTTCGGGATCTGTGGTTTGTGTTAAGAAATAAACTCACACATTATCGAGGTTTCTTTGAACTCTTCTCTTTATTATTATGGTTTTCGAGTCCGTCCTATACCAATACTTAGTTGCTACTTCCCATCAGCACAAGTATATCGGATAAAAATAGGAAGAAATCACATGTGTCATTTTGCCTTCATTGAAATGTAAACTTAAAAGACCTCATGATTCTCTTTCAACTTCATCGAGTCACATGCATAAAAATATCTTTTGAACATCATTCTTTAGGCCTAGAGAGTCGGCTTTGTATAACATATGATGTTTTTTTATTTTTAACTTGTTACCTCCTACCAGTACAGTTATCAGATAACATAGGTATGATACATGAGAAGAATTCACTTTATGTTTTTTGCGCTACCGAAATAAACCCTAATTTTCACCCAACTCATTGATTGTTACATAAGTCCAAAAAAATACACATACTATACACACAGCATGAGAACACTATTTGGGTCCCCTCTTGTTAAAACCATACAATGTTTTGTTGGACCACTGCTTTTAGCTTTAGACATGTCAATTCCTCATTTGGAAACCATTGTTAAGAGTGTAAGTTTTATCAGCATGTTTGTGTCCTGTCTTGTATTTATAAATAACACATGGATGACTAGTTTTGGATAGTACTACGGAAAAGATTACAAGTTGTATAGAATGAGAAGAAATGAACAAGCCAAACTAGACCACGTCTCAACATTTAATACCATGTGTTTTCTCTCTGTTTCAATTTATATGACAGCTCAAAGCTCATGGTACCTATTGTTCGTTTTTAGCTCAATTGTGTACCGTGTAAACTTATGCTATGATGATTATAAAACTCATAAACTTTCCTCCCTTTCTAATGTGGAATTCGTCTAAGATTTCTAGCTATGTATATTCTAAACTCTTAGTGCCATGGGCCTCACAATATTTAACACATAAGGAGTAATTAAATGTGATTTCGAGCTAGGTATATTCTATAAAAAAATTAAAATTGCAAACTGTCATGTTTTGTATAAGACAGCAAACACTTTATAATGTTAGACCTTTGTTTTCGAACTATTGTGTCTTAGTTCAACACTTGACCTTTATAAATTATAATAATATAATAACAAGACAAACAAAATTCAGCCCACTTAACATGACTTCACCAGGCCCAATAAATTTGCTTAATGGGCCAGGTCTTTCACTCCAAATTTCAAAATGGCCCAACTCACCGAGCTTCTTAAGTTGAGCCTTCACCGACTGTCCCCGGAATCCATGGACTGAAGCCTTAAAGGACCAGGTCAGGTCTAATCCCACCCGACCCACTTGACACGTCTAGTTCGATGCACCCTCGAGTTGCTTCATTAAAGTTATTAGGAATTGTCCCACTCTGGTTAGGCAATTCAATAATATGCAAAACCCACGAGTGGGGTCTGGAAAAGGAAGGATGTACCCAGATCTTACCCTCTATCTTTGCGGGGATGGCCAAGAACATTGGTATCCTCCATTTAGTGTGAAGTTCATGTTTTTGGTTTTTTTATGCATCAAACTTTATACATTCAAGGAAATCCAGCCATGAAAACAAAATTCTATTGATACTTTATACAAATACAAGCATAATACCAGAAATGAAAAATACCAATGGGAAGGACTAAAATAGGTATAGATAAAATTTGGGAACCTATATTATAATCTTTACAAGAGAGGATAGTCAAATATAAATGCACAATAATTGTAGAAAAATAGTACCTTTCTTTTGTTTGGTATCAGTTCCGGAATTGGTGGATAATGGGTCTGCTCTTCTACTCCTCTCTACTTAATAGACTTGGTTCCCCGGCAAGAGTTGAACTCATGTGTACGTGTTGTAGAACCTTTGTCGTTGAACCAAAGCCTAAGGTGATGGTTTTCCTTCTCCTAGAGCTTATGTTGGATGCCTAATAACTATCTAACTGACTGCAGCTCAGAAATCGAACTTCCCCATAGGAGGAACGTCACCTCTCATTACTCTCCAAGGGCCACCATAAAACATTGGTTTCATTAGAGGCACATCTTGACCAGGGTGGTCTTCCCAGTATTTCTCCTGTCATTATGATAAAAAAGAAACTCTTAAAGACGAGAATTTGGAATTGGCAGTAAGGCTGGAAAAAAGAATATCATTCTTAATACACATGAGGAAGTCTTTACGTTGAGCAAATATATAACGTAGAAATAGCTAAAAGTCAAGAATAAGATCAGAGAGAGGAGAAAACAACCGAAGCAATGTGAGTAGCTAAAATAGATGTAGTTCTTCCAATTCATTGGACACATACGTCAAAAAATTAAGTAGCTAACTTGATTTTTACATTGATAGTGGTAGAAGAATCCATAGAGTTAATTAATAATCTAGTTTATGATTAGAAACTGTTAATAATACATTTGGGAATTATTAAGTAATCAAAGACGAATTTCATTAGGATGATTCAGAAGTTTCTGAAGGCTAGCAAATACTTAAATGAAGCTGTTTTTTTCAGAAAGGATCGTTTCCAATCGGATGAAGCTTAATCCGAGAAGAGGCACATAGATAATAGTCTTAGTTACTTTAAGGTTGCAACAGAGAAGGGAAAATGTATTGTGTGTAATCAGCCAAGGAGGGGGTCAAGCAAGGAGGACAAAGGATCAGAACGACCTTCAATCAGATGTCTTACATGCAGTGGAGTCACTTTAGCATCAAGTAAATGAAACAAATGTTGCTCCAAAATCCGGTCCATGGAAAAAAACTCCGAGTAGGACGAGTTCCAGAGTTAGGAGACGGTCCAAGGATGGAGAGAGAACAATGTGCTCACTCCTACTGCAGCATTCTATGAATAACAAACATGGGCTCACAGACAACTTTTTGAAAGGCTGGGAGTGACAAAAAGGCGGCAAAGGGCTCGGAGAGCCAAGTCTTACGTGTCTCCTCGTTTCTTAGCTGCTGAGAAATTTAATGGAGAATATATTTCTAGAATAATACAGTTATAGTACAGGAATTTGATTGCTAGGCTTTTCTTCGCTTTTTTCTTGTACTGTGGGAGATGTTATGTACAGATATTTAGCCAAGAATTCATACGGAATATTTCAATTAGTCCAATGGAAGAGTTCATATTCAAGTTACCAATGGCAGAGACAGCCACTTTTTTGTTCATGGTTGGTAACTTAATTAACATTAGTTTTTGGAATGAACAACTTTTTCTTTGTGTAAAAAGAATAAAATTAAAAAATGAAGTTGTTTTTCTGATGTCAAAGGTACAAGGTTTTCAACTGAGCACCTAACTATTAGGGAAGGTTTTGCAGAAAGTTGAACCGACAGAGTTAATATGCAACAACCTAGGATCGCCTAGATGGATTGTTATCCTTAGATGGGAGAGATAAGCTGTTTTAATGGGGAGTGACTATAAATTTCCATTATATGATCAAGACAATGAAAGTCGCTCACATTTGTTTTTCTTGTATGATATCAGCCCACATCAGGCAAAAGCTTCTCAAATGGCAAGGTATCAACAGAAACACAAGACAGTGGGAAGATGAACTACAATGGTACCTAACTATGCAAAGGAAAGAAGTTCAAGAGCTGAAGTACACAGACTGAATCTTGCAGCGGCAGTATATCATATTTGGAGAGTGAAGAACTTAAGAATGATGTGTGGAACTCTCATGCTTTGAAGTAACACTTCTCATGTAACTCTTTCTAAAGGTAATGTTACAGATAAACATTACCAAAGAGGTAGGGAACTAGTTATATTGTAACCTGAATGGCTCCTTTACCGTGTATAAAAATGAGAGGAGGCAAGGTCCATTTCCAATATACCCTGCACTAGAACTATCTATATTTGGGCATTCATAATCTAGCCTACACCCGCCAACCATGAAACCATCGGTGGCTTCAACTTTTAAAACTTACAGCACAAAGCAGCTATCCCCATAAATATGTCAAAAGAAATGGCAAGCAGTAAGTGCTTAAAAAGGGATGTAAAGCCACTATACCTTGTAGACTTGTTCAGTGATGGCTGCTCCAATAACCCCGGTATAAAATGCACATACGTAGATAGTAACAAGAGGAGTAAACGATTTTGGTCTCCTAAATGGTTCTACCATATCCCAGAGGAGCGTCTTTTCCCATTTTGTGTAGACATAATCTGCATATTTCCTCCATAAATACGTTGCCATGTCCACGAGATCCTTCAATTATCAGTTGAACTGTGCACAGAAGAAATATTTGGTTAATGGAAGATGTAGCTATCAATATGTAGAAAACTGAAACAAGATTTATTAAGGGATAGGCCTAGATTAATCCCACAAGTAGGGTATGGGAAGAAAACGCAGGACAGCCATAATTTAACTTGAAAAAAAGCTTCAAGTTTCAAAAGATATCAGATACTAGGAGAGGTATGACATGTATCCTAATGAAGGAACAATGATATGAGATCATTTTTAAAATAGAAAATACACTATTTAAATAAGAAAAAATCTAGGGCCAAAACTTTGAACAAATAAGTGAGCCCTAATTAACATTAAACACAGAAACTGAATGACTAATTAGTTATCAATGCAAAAACGACTTCAGCCAAACTCATATCCACAACAGTCAAAACAATGACAAATTCACCTAAGACTTCCCCTTATGAAACTAAAATCAAGTATAGACTAATTGAGAATAGAGAGACAAGGAAGCAATGGAACTACACATAAAAGGAAAAGAAAATAACTTTTGGATCAGCAAATTCCATATATTAGCATACACAAGAACTAAGGGAAAACAGAAAATGAACTTTTCAAATGTAAACTCAACTAAGAGAAATAAACCGAAACAGACTAACTAGAATATCCTGCTTTCTGTAACAATTTGAGCATAACATATTAGAATTTGAAGCAAAATAGGGGGGTTAGGAGTCTAGCGCAACAAATGACTACAAACAGGGAGGGACAACACTTTGACAATAGACTCTATTTTGATTAAAACCAGACTTGATCTCGTGTTCATCATCAAGTTCTCAACATTCCACGTATGTCAAACCATCAGAAAACCAAATCACTATCCCCAAAGACAAAAAGAAAAACTTAAAACATCCAGATCAGAGTTAAAAACCTACCCCCTGAACTCGAATAGTTCCCAGATACTTCAGATCAAATAATAAGCTGGCCAAACATGTCTATTGGATTTTGAAGCACTTAAAAGAGAGCTAAACTACCACTTTGGAGAATAAGTTGACATATACAGAATCATGAAAGGTAAAGCAGGTCATAACACTTCATTTCAATATTAAACATAGCTCGAGAACATGACAATCAATTTTGAGACTCCTGCATTTATCTGAAGACGATACCAACAGCAAATAATGTAGTGCCTGATGCTTGAAGATAGAGTAAGGTAGGTATAGGCAGATAATAGTTTGACAACATTCCAGTGAACAGATTCGGGATGAGGAGTAATGAAAGCACGAAATATATCTTGATTCATATAATTTAGCTTAAGACAAAGATTGAATAAACGACGTCGAACATTGATTGATTATTAATGCAGATTCATAACAAGCAGAAAATAAACTAAGACGAGTAATCATAATACAGCTCTGGAGGCAAAGAGAGTGAGAATAATAGCAAATTCAGATTGTAAAATCAGTCCAGAATCCACCTTCAATATTCACACATACATATTCAACAAGCGAAAGATCAAAATCTCGATCACACGAAGAATCGTTACCATTACTAAAACTATCGGTGAACTAAGCAAACAAACAGAGCCAAAATAAGAAGAAATGACATTAAGTATATTCACCAACTAAATCACATTAAGTATTTGGAGAACTTAAAGACTTTTTAAGGCTAATTAGTTAAGTTAAAACTTAACTAAAACACAATATTCATCAACTAAATCACATTAACTTATTTGAAGAACTAAGTGTCAACACTAGATGGACACAAATCATCTTGCAAGAAAATCGATTTAGTCATCAATAGAATAAACTAGCGTTGACACTTATCCTTAACAAATATATTATTTCTAATTTTAAAGCTAAGTGTCAACACTAGATGGACACAAACCTATCTTGCAAGAAAATCGATTTAGTCATCAATAGGATCAACTAGTGTTGATACTTATCCTTAACAAATATATTATTTCTAAATTTAAAGTTAAGTGTCTACACAAGATGGACACAAATCAAGTAGGTGCATATAAACACATTATATAAAATAATTGTACTTGAACTTTAGAGATTTAGAATCACCAAACCTTATCTCCAACTTTGATGAAAGAAGCAATATAATGTCGTATCAATTTTTCTATATGTTGAGCTTCCTGAGTTGTCTAGCACGAAAAGAGGTAAAAAAGTTAACACTAGAAAAATTGAGTTTGAACTTACTTACACGCACATGTTACATACAAGAAGATCAAGTAGGGCATTAGGTCATACTCTTAAGTCATTTGTATTTTTATTTCAAAATAGTTCGATTTGATTCACTAACATCAATAGCTCAACTCAAGTATGGATTCCCACCAACCTACTAATTTATCCCAAACACGAGTATGTATGATTTTTTCTTTATGATAGAACCATTTATTAACAACAAAAATATTACAACTCTACCATAATAATAGTACTTCAAGCACTTGATTAAACAAAATTGGAGATATAATTTCAACTAGAGATTCTAATAACAATTCAAGCACTTCAACAAAAATCTTTTAAGGGAGATGTGCATACAAAAACGCAAGCAGAAAGTACCAACTCTCAAAGTCAGAAAACTAGTTCCTTTAGGTGGTCCTGAAGACTGATGAACATCAATATAAAAAATTATGAGGTGGGGTAACAAACTGTTTGATAACTTATGAACATCATTAAGAAAATTATGAGGTAATAATAAAAAGGGAAAAACAAACCTGGACAGATCCGTTTGGTACGAAATCACAGGCATTTGAGCCTCAGCTTGAGTAGTTGGTGTTGTTGCTATCGCCCTCTAGCCGAGCTGCTGACTTGCTGTCGTTGGTTGGAGCTGCTGGCCTCCTGGGGTTCTGCCGGAGTTGTGGCTGCTGCTGATGCTGCCGGATGCTCGCCGATGGCTGGCTGTTGATCCTCGCCGGAGTTGGCTGTGGAGAAGAGACGGGAGGGGGATAGAGGAAGAAAGAAGAGAGGAGGGGAAGAGAGAGGGGTCGCCGGGGCTGCTGCTCGCCGGTGATCCGTTCGTCGGAGGAGAAGAGGAAAGCAGAGCGAGGGGAGAAGAGATGAGAGAAAGAGAGAGATGCGGGCGGATACATTTGAGTTAGGGTTTTGATATTATATTTTTTAGAATAATTAATTTATCGATTACGAAATGTCGAATATTTATTAAAATAATTATCTATATTTAATAAATATTAATATTGCGAATTTAATATTATTTAAATAAAATAATAATTTAAATAGGTCGGTATATATATATATATATATAAATAAAATTAATAGAAGTTTAATTTAATAAATTTATTTTGTCGATCAAGTTAATTTTATAAATAAATTATATTCTTCCTAATTATATAAATTCAATATAATATATAAATCTCGCCTTAAATTGATCATCAATATTCTTTTTATTGATGATGTATATCATATATAATTACTCAATGTATTTCATACTCAGATGAAGTATTCTTTATATGTCAGTAGAATTAGGAAGTGATCACTATACTTGATGTACGCTCAAGATCGAAAGTATATAATCATACTATATCGTATTTCATATTCGAAGTTCACGATTAGACGACGGACTAATAGATTTGTATATTACTCTAGAAATATAATTATAAGTATAGTTATATTATATCCTAATTCATAACAACGTAGTTTCATACTCTAAATATACGTTACAAATATTTTTTTATTTATTCCATAGAGTCTAACTTGTTATTTCCAAAAATATACAAAATTGTTACACTTTTGAACAATTAATTGTAAGTTCAAATGAAATTTTAATATTATGCTAAATAGCAAAAATTATGATTAATAAAAATACTTTAAACAAATCAATCTTTGTATGTCGCTTTTATTGAAAGTAATTAGATATAATAAAAAAAATCAACCTCATGAGACCGGTATCACATTAAACTTTAAGAAAAATAACAAGTAATCATGTTAATTTTATATATATATATATATATATATATAAAGAGAGGGAGAGAGAGGGAGAGAAGTTTAATTTTATAATCTTAATTTATCCATCAAGTTAAATCTAAAGTATACACCTCCTAATTATATAAATTTAATTTTATCGATCAAGGAAAGTTTATCAATATCAATTCTAATATATAAATCTCTTTAAATTGATCATCGATATTTATTTAATTGATAATGTATTTCATATATAATTAATTAACGTTTTTCATACTCAGATGAAGTATTCTTTACATGTCATCATAATTAGGAAGTGATCACTATACTTGACATACATTCAAGATCGAAAGGATATAACAATACTATCTCGTATTTCATACTCGAATAAATTATATGTTTGTTCTTCACCTCTACATCATACCATGAGATATTAAGTTCACGATTAGACGACAGATTAACAGATTTTTGTACATTACTCTAGAAATATAAGTATAATTATATCTTAATTCATATCAACGTATTTCATCCTCTAAATATGAATTATATATTTTTTTTTAATTTTTCACGAAATTTAATTTTTTATTGATAAAATATACAAAATTACTACACTTTTTTGAACAATTAATTGTAAGTTTCAAATGAAATTTTAGTATTATACTAAATAACAAAAATTATGAGTATTAGAAATATTTTACACAAACCAACCTCCGGATGTCGCTTTTATTAGAATGAATTAGATAACAAAAAAAATATCGATCTCATGAGGTCGGTATCACATTATATTTTAAGAAAAATAAAAGAAATCATATTAAATAAATAATATTAACATCGTAAGGTCGGTACATTATATTAGTTTATTTTTTAACTTATATAAAACCGTCATCCATAGTATGATTTAAAGTTAATTGCACGATATAAATATTTAAATTAGAACTAATTAAATTGCATGATATTTAATTTTACCAATTTTAAAAGTCGATATTATAATATTTTTTTATTTTTTAATTTACGCAAAACCGTCCTCATGAGGTCGATATTTAACTGAAATAACATCACCGACCTCATGAGGTCGGTATTCGGATGAAGAAAAAAGTACCAACTTATGAGGTCGGTATTTGGATAAAATAAAAATACTGACTTCATAAAGTCAGTATTTGGATGAAATAAAAATACTGACCTCATGATCTCGGTATTTGGATATGGATGAAATAAAAATACTGACCTCATTAGGTCAGTATTTAGATGAAAGATAAATACCGATCTCATGAAGCCAGTATTTTATATGAAGTAAAAATACCGACCTCATGAGGTCGATATTTGAATGAAGAAAAAATACCGACTTCACGAGGTCGGTATTTAGATGAAATAAAAATACCGACTTCATGATGTCAGTATTTGGATGAAATAAAAATACTGACCTCATTAGTTCGGTATTTAGATGAAAGATGAAAGATAAATACCGATCTCATGAGGTCGGTATTTAGATGAACTAAAAATATCGACCTCATAAGGTCGATATTTGGATGAAGAAAAAATACTTACTTCATGAGGTCGGTATTTAGATGAAATAAAAATACTGACTTCATGATGTCAGTATTTGGATGAAATAAAAATACCGATCTCATATATCGATATTTGAATATGGATGAAATAAAAATACCGACCTTATTAGGTCAGTATTTAGATGAAAGATAAATAACAATCTCATGAGGTCGGTATTTAGATGAATTAAAATTATCGACCTCATTAGGTCGATATTTCGATGAAGGAAAAATATCGACTTCACGAGGTCGGTATTTGGATGAAATAAAAATATCGACTTCATGATGTCAGTATTTGGATGAAATACCGACTTCATGATGTCAGTATTTGAATGAAATAAAAAATACCGACCTCATGATGTCGGTATTTGGATATTGATGAAATAAAAATACCAAAAATTTAATATGTTTATTCATTTATTTTATTTAATATCGACGTCAAGAAGTCAGTTTTTATTGCAATTAATTTTTTTTTGCGAAAAATACCGACCGTTTGAGATCAAAAAAATTTTCCCTCCTTATTTTATCTAAAAACCAACTAGTTTTATATTTTTAACAATACGGACCTACAGAGGTCGAAAATTACAGACATCATTGAGACAGTAATTTTTAGATCGATATTCGCTATTTTTTTAGCAGTGAATATTGAAGTACAAATTATTAAAAATTTGTAGCTTGACTTATAAAAACTCTCACTCTCGCTAGTATTAATTCTAGCTCAGTTTCACACAACTAATTTGGTGCTACTCCATCTAATTAATAACTTAAACTAATAATAGAAACTCAAGAAAATTTTATAATGCCATTAACCATGAACAAGGTCACTAGATAATGCCATTAACAAAATTGCTGCTTCCTTCTCATCCTGAGGGAAAACGCGATGGATTGCCAAGTTATTGCTCAAATTTATAAAGAAATCTTCGAAACAGATCTTCTTCTTTTGTTGCACGTCGTTGTTATTATTATTATAAAATGATGACGATGATGATGAACCAACACGAGGAGCAGGTGTAGGTACAAGTCCAGGTTCAGGTGCAGGAGTAGTAGTACTACTTAAAAATTTGCACCTTTTCTTGAAGGGTACAACATGATTGGCATTCACTTTTGTTATTTTGTGCTTTTGTTGTTGTACCTTTATCTTCATAGTCGTTGTTGTTGTTGTTTCAGTACTAGTGAAATTTGTCCCATTATTTGGTGTTGTTGATGCTGCTGCTGCCGCTGCTGCTGCTCTCCTAGCTTTTCTTTGTCGAATTCCACATGCATTACAAAGCGACTGTACCCAAAAAAACATAAGCGAGTCAGAAACAGATTTAGAATTTTAAATACTTGTTAAATTTTAGAAACACACTTTATTGAGTTTGAAATTAATTATTTATAAATATGTATTAAGAAGTTATAGTCAATAAGTACTAAATGAGTTTAGTTTTTGTGTACTCTTGACATGAGTTTTTACTTTTTTACATTATGTGTTGAAAATGACCTATCAATAAGTCTATAGTAATTTATTTGGTAATCCAAAAAATGCATAAATCACATTTCTTTAATTTATATTGTTAGACTCTTTAAAAAGTAATGTATTTTTTAGAAATTCGATATAAATGTGACAATATTTTAGGAGAGGTCACAAATTCAAATTTCCAAAATCTTTAAGTTAAGTATATTTCTTAATCCTTTTGTTAGAACTCCTAGTTCCGCAATAATTGGTCAGTGTATATAAGTTACAACAACAATTATATATTCTTAATTAGTGTAATTTCGCGAGTGCGGATCTGGGGAGGGTGTTATGTATGTAATTTTGATCTTACTTTGTGTAGGTAAAAAGTTTATTACTAATAGACCCTCGACTCAAGTAAAGCATATATTAGGAAAAAAAAGAGTAGGAATACTTCATTTGACTCATATACTAAACAACAATAACATATTCAGTATAACCCTACAAGAGTAATTTGAGAAGGATATTACTGTGTATGAAAGCTTATCTCTGTGTTGTAAATATAGAGAGACTTTATCCGATAAACGCTCGACTCAAAGTAAAACATATTAGAAAAATATTAATAAATTACCTTAGGGCCTTTAGGACCACTTCTCCAAAGAGGGGTTTTAGTAGTGTTGCAATCAGAACAAACCCTAATTGGGATGATATTGTTGTTGGAAGAGCTGTTGCTGCTATAATCAGTTTCTATGATTTGTTGCTTTTGATCTTCTACTTTCAAATTCTTCACTTTTTGCCCCCCTTTTTTCCATAAGGTTAATTTGAGTCCCTTGTTTTTCTTGTCTACATGATCATGTGATCCACTTGATCTTGAAGCAAAATTATCAACCTATATATAAATGATCCACAAACACTTAATTTGCATATAAAATAACATGATCCAAGTATTGTACAAAAATAAACAAATTATATGACCTTCAAAAGAAAAAAAAAATAATCGCGATAGTTAGACACTCTTTCACAAGGACAATCAATAAGATAACGTCTAGACCTCCTTTCTTGTACTTTTACTTTCACAAATTTAACTTTACTAAAAGAAATGATCGAGAAAGTTTTTTTTCTATCCAACTAATCATAACTAGATAGAAATAGAAAGCGTCAACTATGCTTTCTTAGTGACAACACAACTAGATGTTAATATTCAATT